AGTAAGGTTACCTTCTCTCAGGGGAAGGCAGGAGGTTTTATCTGGCAGGTTATCTCTCTAGTGCTGACCAGGAAATTCCAGACTGATTTATTTAAAATTCCACTCTGGAGGGAGGTAGATACCACAATTAGGTTAGGTACTAAGTCTTGGAGGTGTTTAATATAAGTGACACCATTTGGGGCCTGTTTCATTTTTTACCTTCCCTTTTTTTTTTTTTTTTAAATCAGTAAATGCTCGTTTATGTTTTAAAAATCAAGCAATACAAAAATATAAGAATGGAGGAAGTCACCTCAAAGCCCCTTACCAAGTGCCTATTTCTTTTTAACAAAGGAAAAGATGTTCTCTTCCCTGTCAAAATGAGAATCAGAGTCTTATCTTACTAACTTTTAATAGAAATTTCCATTTTACAAAAATGTTGATTAGTGTCCTATGGAAAAATATTTCATTGAACACTCACAGCCTAGCTGTGCTGAAAGTCTCCTTTTTGGTGATGAATTGCCTATCACTGCTAAACACTTCAGTGAAATAAAATATTGCTTTATTTAAATTTATACTTTGATAGAGTTCATATCTCTTAATTAGTGCCTAGACAAATAATTTGGGAAAAAGCAACCAAAAGCAAAGAACTATCAAACACTTAAGATATTTTATTTAAAAAGGTATTTTACATAATAAAAAATAACTTTTAAGTGTTCATTGTAATATACTTAATTACATAAAAACAGAATCACTTTAGACTTCTCTCCTAGACACATAATAAAGTGGAAAAGGGACAAGTCACTAGTGGAATTTGCCAAAATATATTTATTCATTTATTCAAAAAGTATTTATTGAGTGACTTTTATGTTAACCTCACACTACATTAAGTGCTTGGGTTATGACAAAGGACAAAACTGTCCAAACTCCATGCTCCCCTAGAATTTGCATTCTCATTTGAAAGACAGGTAATAAACAGTTAAAATAATGTCAGGCAGTGGTAAGTACTCTGAAGACAAATAAAGTAGAATGAAGGGACTGTGAGGACACAACCTCAGGTAAGGTAGAGTGCTGAATGCTGGTCTCTGTATACTCAGCTTGCTGGTTTGGGAGGTGGATGGGGAAAATTCCTCAGACAGCAGATGTATTTCACAACACCGGGAAAGTATCCAGTAGAGATGGTATTCTTCAGGTGTGGGAAAACTACAAAACCTGCGTATGGGGAAAATTTCTGAGATTCTTAAACAAACTCTGAAATAATCTGGTAGCTCATCTGCCTTTCAAATTGAGGCTTTCCATAAACTAGTTTCCAATCAGAGAGTGTGGGTCTCATTTCTATTCACATAACATCATGAGATTTTTATTTTCTAGGAGAAGTAGTTTGGAAATAGTACAATGTAGCTCAGGAGTCAGCTAAAAATGTGTTTGTTCTCTTACTATTGAGGTTCTAAATCATGTACTTTTCTTATTCCTGCATGAAAAAGAATGGTTAAATTGAGACAGTTAAGTGGTTTGTGGATGTTTGAGACCCTCATAAACTAGAACATCATTATTTTCAACAGCATTTATTCGTCATTATCTTTTGACATAATAAGGAGTAAACTAAATGTGTAAGAACCTCCTCTGAAAAGTGTCAATATGATCTCTTTCATAATGTGTCCCTTTCTCCTAAAATTGAAACACATCAAATAGAAACAAACAAATAAAATAAAAGCTTTCTCAAAATCTGATTGAACAAACGTTATTTATAAATGTAGCCCTTGATGTGGGACCTGGAAGTAATGCACATGAAACTTTAGATTTTTTTTTTCTTAAATCTCATTTGCTTTTCAAAGACTAGTTAGACTGATAGCCCTGTACCTTCTTGGAGAGTTTTTCATGACTTTACTCGAAGTCTAAACTAAACTAAATTCCACTAGATGAAACTCAAACCCATCTGTACTTTTTAAATTATTAATAAGAGTTATTTTACACAGCTATTTTTTAAAAAAATCATATGAAACTGAATACAATTTTGAGTTTATGTAAGCTAATGCATTTATTTTCTTCTTTCTCAAAAATTGCTCACTTTTTTTTTGTCTGCCTTACCTGTGGAGTTCATACTGAATACAAAAAATTGGTAGTTTAAAAACAAGTGGCAACTATTTTCAGTGAATATTATCTACTGTGTGATATCTGACAGACATGAGTTTTCTTAGTTAAAAATAGACTGCTGAACATTTATTAGAGTCTGAGTAATGCTGGATTGATCAAAGCTACAAGTGGCAACCAACGACAGTTCTCCTGTGCCAGATTATAAGAAATATTCCAGCCCCTCTGGAAAACAGTGTGGAGGTTCCTAAGGAAACTAACAATAGAACTCCCCTATGACCCAGCAATAGCACTGCTAGGAATTTACCCAAGGGATACAGAAATGCTGAGGCATAGGAACACCTGTACCCCAATGTTCATAGCAGCACTCTCCACAATAGCCAAAACATGGAAAGAGCCTAAGTGTCCATCAACGGACAAACGGATCAAGAAGATGTGGTTTATCTATACCATGGAATACTACATGGCAATGAGAAACAATGAAATCTGGCCATGTGTAGCAACATGGATGGACCTTGAGGGTGTTATGCTGAGCGAAATAAGTCAGGCAGAGAAGGACAAATATCCTATGTTTGCACGTATAGGAGGATTAGGAGGAACTTGACGGAGGAACAAGGGGGAGAAGAATGGGGAAAATGGTGGGGGAAAGGGAGAGAAGCAAACCATGAGAGATTCTTGAATGCTGACAAAAACTGAGGACTGATGGATGTGGGGGGGAGGAGGGATGGGCATGGAGGAGGACACTTGTGGGGATGAGCACTGAGTGTTATGTGGAAACTAATTTGACAATAAACTATTTGTAAAAAATAAAATAAAATACAGAAAAGAAAAGAAAAAAGAAATATTCCATAAGGCAGATATTTACAGTTGCATAGGTTGTGCACTGCACATCTTTAGCACATCCCCATTACCACTGTACATGACTGCTTTGACTTATGAGAAAACATCATAATCCTGCACCTTGAGACAGAAAGGAAGTAAGGAGCTACAGTTACCAGCATAAGAACAGAAACACTTATACTGCACTAGGGATATCCACTGGGGTAGAGAAGACTGGAAATTATGTAGGCTTAGGGAATCTACAGATCCACCTATGCAACAGTTCCATTAGAACACAGGTGAACAGATGATTCTTGCATAAACTGATATGGTCTCTGGACAGCTTGTCACTTTAGCCCCACGGATGCCTCTACGAAACCAACTTTTCACACTCCAATCCCTCAAAACAGTTCCTTAATCCTTGGACAGAGATGCTGACAGAGGAGAATAAATTTTTACTCATGGCTCCTGTCGAATGATTGGGAGGTGAGTGGATTAATTTATAACCAAAAACTTGAAAATGCATCAGCATAGAATTGGAGATTGTGCTGTGAATTGAATTTAAATCTTGCATTCTGCTCACACCTACAAATTGAAGTTCTCCAAGTAAAGGCATTTGAGGATAATAGAGAACAAAATTCATCTGAAAGGAAATAGATGCTTTCCTCAGCCACAGCATTTGGCATATTACAACATTTGGACAATGAATTTGGCTCCAAGCTTTCTTATAGCCAGGAAATGCACTAGGGTTCTAGAGTTTTTGGTTTATGACAACAGAAAACATAAATTCATTTGGAGTGGAAAAAAATCCTAAGTAGAAAAGACAGCAAGAATCTATAACATGTATAAGAGCATTTTTGGTCTTAAAGGGGTCTAAAAAACATCTCATTCTATCTATGTGAAAACTGATGCTTAGAAAATTGATAATCACAATCTTAGCACATATTCTTGATTAGTTTTTCATGAGGGAATTCTAAAGATGTTTGTAAGGAGGAAAAATTGCTGATTTATTAACAAGGTAACAAGATTTTTGTAGTTAGAAGAGGCACTCTAGATGAGGGAGCAAAAGGCATGCTAAGGACAAAACACAAGCTAACCTAACACCACCTCCCACCCCCTCCCACCCCACAGGTGGACTATACGGGCTATTTCTCAGGCCCTCCTGGCTGCCCAAGAACAAAGGAAAGGGCAGAAAACAAATGGTTAAACTGATGGAGTCTCCATCAGTTTACAAATATCTTAGTAAATTATAAGAAAAAGGCAATCTTTCAATAGCCTAATAATCTCCAGGAACTCCCTACTAGCTTAATGATAATGCTTTGTTAGAGGGAAAAACACCTTAACTTGATAATCTTTTTTTTTTTTTTAATTTTTTAGTGTTAATTTTCAAGAGACAGAGCATGAGCAGAAGAGGGGCAGAGAGAGAGGGAGACAAAGAATCCGAAGCAGGCTCCAGGCTCTGAGCTGTCAGCACAGAGCCCGGACGCGAGGCTCAAACCCACAAACCGCGAGATCATGACCTGAGCCAAAGTCGGACGCTTAACCGACTGAGCCACCCAGGCGCCCCTTAGCTTGATAATCTTGATAGTAGCCAGGCCTCCAGTAATCTGTGAGTCTTCTTTAGCTTATGGGAATCCCTTCGAGAAACTTTCTCTTGATTTTACATCCCCCAACTCCACAGCATATAAGCAGTCACTCCTTACAAACCCAGTGAAACTTTTTCTGCCCATGGGTCCTGTCCCTGTGATTTCATAAAATCACCTTTTTGCACCAAAGACTTCTCAAGAATTCTTTCTTGGCTTTCAGCTCAGAACCCCCACTGCTCCAAAACCCCATCATTATGAACTACATAGTCAAATATCCTTGATTCCCCAGATGAAGAAACCAAGACTCAGAGAAATTAAAACAGAACAGAATAAACAAAATAGCATTAGTTAATAGAAGAGGTAAGAAGAGTAACAGATTTGTGAAAAGGGATTTCCTGTTTAGCACAATGCTGGGACAGTGAACTTCAACCCCAAATCTTTCTTGATAAACACTCCCAAATGCTCTAGGGCTTCACAATCAAAAAGAGTCAGAATGAATGGACATCCTTTAGTAATGGAGACACTTACTTGGGGTTCTTGAAGGAGCAGCAGCAGCAGGTGGGCCAAGCTAGCTTTCAGGTGAGCCACCTTCACATAAGCCGCCGACTCTCACAAGCTTTACCCTCCAGCTGTGTTTCAAGATGGATCAAGTAGCTGACATTGCTACTGGTCCCCTGTGCTTTCCCTGGCCGTGCTTATCACAGCCTCGCTCCTGGAAACGTCCCAGGCCGATGGCACAGCCGAACCCGGGCACACTACTCCATGCGCCCTGCTGCCGACGTTTCTAGAGCGACAGCGAGCCCAGTGCAGTGAAGAACCCCACCGTGGTGCCCCAATCGTCATCGCCAGGGCACGCATTGCCCGTGTGCGCAGGGGGAAGGGGATTGAGTGGTTGGGATTCGTCCCCTGCGGCGCACCAGCGAGAGGTCTGGAGGTGCTGCTGGAAGCCGCTGGCTGCCAGGTCCAAAAGCGGAACCGGAAGTACCTCCCCAAGGCCCCAACCACGTGGCTTGGATCTTCTCCGCCCTCACGAGCCCAGAGCGGGTGTGGCACTCCGGGAGTTCTGAAGAGATCGTGGTGGCGGTGAGATTGGGGCAAGGGAGAAAAAAAAAAAAAAAAAAAAGGAAGAAAAAATGTTAGGACTTTGTTTTAACACATATGTGAGAAAACAATACTTAAGCATATAACTGTCACGTTTAAGTGGTCAATAAAAGATTCGCTATTAAATTTAAGTAAAACAGGCCATTTTAGAAAGAAATGAAAAGAAAGCCAGAGCCTGTGTCACTTATAATGAGCTTGAGAGCAAACAACAGTCTCCAATTCAAGTTTTCATTAGAATAAACAAATTTGATTTGAACATACTATCTCTAGGTGGTTGCAGCTCTGCAGGTATAAGACAGAGGGGGCATCACAAAAGGAAAAGAAAACTGTAATAATTGATTTAAGGAAGAGTAGATAGAGGAAGCAGAGAGAAGAGATAGAGACAGAAGAAGTAAGAGATGTGGATAAGATGGGAACCATAGAAACAGGCTGGATTTTATAGATTCATATAAAGGCCCACGGGCGGGGGGGGGGAATCTCTTTCTCCTTAGTTGATAAGTATTTCCTGCTATTGAAGGAAAAAAAAAGTCACCTAAGGAAAGAACACTGAACAACCACGATCTTACTACACCATGAAAATCGATGAGCTAGTGACTATCGTAGACTAACTTTTCTGGGTCTTTGCCCTTACGCAGAAGCCTCTGATTTCCTCTATTTTTTTTAAACAAAACTGAAATTCTCTTGGTAAATGATATTTAAACACCATAATTTTCACAAACGGTGGGTGAATGGGAAAATCTGAGAAGGACTAGTACAAACTCAGCACATTTTTAAAATAATGCTGATGAAAAATTCCTTTTCTGGCAAGTCTTTTTTCTAAGTTTACACCTTAACACCTTACTCTCAGGCTTGGAATCAGCAGAGAGGCCAGTTAAACCTCCTCATGGACCTGTTCCTCAGGCCTAATCTGAGGATCTGACTTCAGCCTGTCCCCAAAGCTTACAGCTTCTTTTTCAAGTTCCCTCAGGCCACAGGAAGGCCTGCTGGAAATTCAGAGTAAGAGAGAAACAAGGTGCTCAGCTGAGTGAATCATGGAGAAAATATGTTTTACTATAGTAGAGACAAACTACAAAGCCTCAAGACTGATACTACTCTTGATCATTGGATGAATCTTTGGAGTAAGAATAAATGTATTTCCAATGAAACCACTTAGACAGTACTCACCTGGATAGGCAAGTAGATTAAAGAAAAATATGCTCAGTACTTTAAAATTGTATAAAAGAATTGATCCTTGACAGTGGCTAAATTGAAATTGCTGCTGTTCACACGATTGTATACTTTTGTAAAGATGGGCCCAAGAGGAAAAGATGTCTGGTGTGATGATTTCAGGATCAAAATGAGCAGTTTGAGTTCGGCTATCATTCAAGCAAAAGTTTTGAGGACTTTTTATTAGGAATCCACAATTGGTGAAGAGCCACTATGTAAAAAAATGCAATGTACATTAGACAAGCTCATGCATTTTAAAGTCCAGTGTATCTTTCATAAAGTCAGGTACAAAGTACAAGGTGAGACTACTACAAGGTAGTGCTATATGAGATGGGAATATAAGAAAGTAAAAAATATGTTCTTAAAAACAGATTAGCAGTTGTTTTGTGCCTTTCACCTATTCTTGCAAGAGATGTCTGCATAAGGAAAACATGGGAGCAGACCCATCTGTATTTTTTTGCCCAAAAAATAGATTTAGTGGCTGTTTTGTTTTGGGAGGCAAATTAATGCTCAGAGACTGAGTTTCATCTTTGCCATCAATTTATTTAACATCAGATCAATATGGGAATTATAATAATTTCACAAGCCATTACTGTACAGGATAATGTCTCTTAATAAGATTTATAAAGGAGTAACATATTCTAAACCAGTGAGAGATGAATCACATTCTTCTTCCAGGCAAAGGGAGATGAAAGGAGTAAAGTCCAAATTTAGTTGAGGTATACCTTTATATTTGTTGGCACTTGGGAAGGATGGCTTAGCAGACCGAGAACTGATGTCCAGCTGCCAGTGTAAAAGTAAAAGCCTCCTGTTGCTGGAACACAATGCTAAGGAAGGATGGTGTGGGTGTTGACAGGCAAGAGGATTTCCTTTGTGGGGGCCACTGCACGATTTTTACCACTTTCTTACTGTGATGGGAGCTACTTGCCCCAAGGTCTTCAGAGAACTACTTAGATCAGCAAAGAGTCCCCTCACCCAGACTGAATATTCTCAGATAGTCCTCACAAACTCTCCGTATTTATAGTCTGAATGTGCCCTCGCCATAGTTGCTTCTTTATGTGTTTTTATTGATAACTCCATTGGGCCCCTTAGAAGCTGAGCTACTAAGTTCTTATCAGTGAAAACAGATGAGATGATGATATCCTGTCACAGCTTACTTCACTCATAGCAAAACAACTTCAGTCTTAAATAACAATTTCATTTTTGCCACAAACAAGTGGATTGGAAATTATATCAAACCAATATACAGCAGCGTCCCTAGGTCAGGTCTGCCTTAAAAAGTTGTAGACATCTGAGTTCTGTGGGCCAACGGAATATTTCCCTTCATGCCCTAATATATAGAAGCAATAAATTTGGAAGGGATGACTGAAACAGTTGTCCTAAGGCTGTTTCAAATAACAGAAACCCAGTCAAACTAACTTTTAAAGAAAACCAAAGGGTCAATTAATCATAAAGATAGAAGGAGTACATGGAAGCCTCAGAGGGATTGGAATCAAGCACTGGAAAGCCATCAGAATGTACTCACTAATTTCTCAGAGTTCTCACTCTCTGGGGCCACATGCTTTCTCATCTTCACTTCTCTGTATGATACCTTTCTTCTCTGGGGCCAAAATAGCCACTCCAGCCCACCACTGACTACATCATTTCCTGGTTAAGAGCCTGGCAGACACTAACTAGTTCTTGTATCCCTGATTGGACTAGGTTGTTTGGGTTTACCCCAGGCAATTGGCAAAAGTTTGGATTATGGGGGCACCTGGATGACTTAGTCGGTTGTGTCCAACTCCTGGTTTTGGCTCAGGTTATGATCTCAGAGTTCATGGGTTCAAGTCCTGCATCAGGCTCTGCACTGACAGTGGGGAGCCTGCTTGGGATTCTCTCTCTCCCCTCTCTCTCTGCCTCTCCCCTACTCATGCTCTCCTTCTCAAAATAAATTTTTTAAAAAGTTTGGGTTATGGAATTTAAGCATCATTTCCAGGATTCATCCACTTGTATAGGTGAGCTATTTGCAGACTAGTCTGGGGAATCAACCAAAAAAAGGTCAACCACAATAGTAGGTTAGGTTACTTCATCACATTAAATCGCCAGATAGTTACCAGGTTACCCTCTTTTCTCAAGTTGAATATATTTTAGAAAGAATCCATATTAATGGATTGCCATTCATAGTTTGTTAAGGAAGGCCTTTACTTATGTATATGAAAAGATGTATTTAAGTTAATGGTCAGAAGTTTAACCCCCTATTATATCAATGCATATTTGATAAAAAGCATATTTGATTTCTATTTGATTTACATTTAAAAAAAATTTTTTAATGTTTTTTATTTATTTCTAGGAGAGAGAGAGAGACAGCGTGAGCAGGGGAGGGTCAGAGAGAGAGGGAGTCACAGACTCTGAAACAGGCTCCAGGCTCTGAGCTGGCAGTCAGCACAGAGCCCGATGCGGGGCTCGAACCCACGAACCACGAGATCATGACCCAAGCGAAAGTCGAAAGTCGGATGCTTAACTGACTAAGCCACCCAGGTGCCCCCTCTGATTTACGTTTTAGTGCTGGAACAGATAATATAGATCGTTGTGACAGGGATAGCCTAAAGATTCACCTTTCTCTTCCATAGTGTCAAATTGTTGTTGGGAAGGAGCCGTCAACTGTGGGACTGCATACCGCAGGCACTGCTGCATCTAGGGAGAACTGTATCCTGGTTCTTGCCAATGTTGACACACAGTGCTATGATTAAAGCCACATGTTAAAAGATGACAGAGCCTCTGTCAGCCTGGGTCCCTGAGTGCCTGTGTGCACAAGAAACATTAAGAAAAGAATTCTGGGAGCACCTGCATAGTTCAGTCAGTTAAGCAGCCAACTTCAACTCAGGTCATGATCTAGTGGTTCATAAGTTCGAGCCCCACGTCAGGCTTTGTGCTGATAGTTCATAGCCTGGAGCTTGCTTTGGATTCTGTGTCTCCCTCTCTCTCTCTTTCCCTCCCCAGCTCACACTTTGTCTCTCTTTCAAAAATAAATAAGCATTAAAAAAAGAGTTAAAAAAAACAAACAAGAATTCTGCCCAAGGAAATACCTTAACCATATGCTTAGGACATACAGATATGCTTGGGAGAGGTAAGAATTTCTCCTAAAATCATATCAAAGTATACATTAGTGTTATTCAGTGTGTGATTAAAAACCGCACAAGAACTTTTTGTTGCCAACCAGTGAAGGATGAGAAGCTTGCCTTGGAATGTAAATTGGCTGCATCACTGAGCATACTGTTCAGTTCTGCTGACATTATTAATTTTTAGGGAGACTATTTTGCTGGAGAAGCAATGTGTTGATTTACATTCTGACGTAAGCACCTGAACTTGTCATAGACCAGTACTTTGAGTAACCCTGGTGTGAATGATCCATATTTGATTCATTCATGAGAGCAAGTTGATTTTATTCTTTAAACCAAAGTAACATATGGACATGCTGTAAACAAAACAAAACAAATGGAAACTAACAGTGAAGAAAGGAGGCATAGATGAAAAAAAAGACATTTCTTTTCTCCTTGAGCCCACTCAAATCCTTCTGCACAAATTAATCACTTTCTTGTGTATCCAGTCAGAAAATATTATGAGCATATCTG